CGTCCACAGGCCTTGGACCCAGCCGCAGGTCTGCGCAGGCAGGCGGCTGCAGCGGAGGGGTCTGCAGGCTTCGACATGGCTGGCGGGCTGGCAGCACACCGCGCTCAGCCCCACGGAGCAGACGCAGCGGAGACTGGGTATCGTGTCACTGAGGCTGACCAAGAGGCTGCTGGAAAAAAGGTCGGTATTTTCCTTACTCAGAGGCAATGTCCACTTGCCAAAGAGACAGACAGGAAACTCAGGAACTTGTCTTTGACAGCTGAGAAGAAAACATGACTCATGCTTTCATGTTATTGACTTATAACGACGACAAGCCCATGACACCTCACACCCGGCTGCTTTTTCCCCTTGCCCAAAGCACAAAAGGCCTCTGGCACACAGCATGTGCACACCGCGCCACACATACACAGCCTGCACCTGACCGCACACACGGAAGGAAAGGAAGCGCATCTGTAATTCAGAGATATCAGAGAAAAGCAAGAGATTACTGGTTATTTGTAGGCAGCAGCTCCTCAAACAGAGGATAAAATACATCAAATTAGTGATCATAAATGCACAAGCAACAAATGACAGTAACAAAGCACCACATCGATCATTCTTCACCTGCAGGTAAAAATCACCCCCACTGCCACCCTTCATAAAATGACACAGCTCTGTTCTTCCTTCCAAACGGGCAATTAGGTTTCTGGCAATGGCTGCAGAATGACCCAGCCATTACACTAAGTGCTAGCATTTTAAGGCTGCTGAAATACATTCTGCTCTTGGAAATAACAAGGTTCATAAGAAATCTGATTGTACGTGACCGTAACGTGCCAGACTGTCTTCCACAGCACCTGCAGCAAAAATGTCAAGGGCGACAGAGCCACCCTTCCCAAAGCTCTTCCGAATGCAATAGCAGAGTTTGTTCAAAGAGAGTTTTTCAGAGACAACTCCTGACCTGGGCACTGGTGTGTGAGGTGTCTGGTCCCTGCAAGAGGTCCCTGGCCACTGGTCCAACGCACTGATAACACAAACCATAACTTTCAGGTTACAATGGCTGTCAAAAAAACCTTTGTAGCTTTGATTCTGCTTAATCATTCTTACCATTTAAAAGACCCCACGTTGTTTCCTGTACAAGGAATATCAAATGGGATTTTGTCTCTTGCACCCCCCTGCAAATGATCCTCTACATTCCACTTTCACTGCCCTTCTGAATAAAACCACATGGCACCTGCCACCTTAGGCTGGGGTCTGTGTTGCCACCTCATGTTTATCACAGTAAATTAATAAATCCAGCTGCATTTCAAATCTGTAAGCTGCGATCAGCCACTCCTCACTACGCTGCGACACGTAACCACTCTCATCCACGCTTGGGCCCCGGGAGCGTAAGCGCTGCCAACCGCCTTAAGTCAGGCGGGCAGACCTTTCCCATTAATAACTCCCAATCATTACATAAGGGCTCTTGATGCCACCTCTGACACCACTGCATCTTTATTATGGTTTCATCTTTTGTTTGTTTTTCCCTTAAAAGCCTCCTTCAGTTCACCAAGCAAACAGACAGGATCATCACAAGCTGATAAACAGAACAGACACAAAACCCAACAGCTCTCTGACATTCTCCGTAACAACATATTTAATTTGTAAACATCCATTCTAGAAACCTCAATGGTACCTGCTGTGCAAAGCAAACACAAGCTGCAACTTCCCGTAAAACTCCTGGACAATCTCAATAAACTTCATACAGGTAAGCTGGCAACCTAAGCCCGAAGACACGCGGCCTGCCATTGGTACGCATCCACGCAAACTCCCCGCCGAACCACGTCAGGGAAGGGTTGGCAAAGCCTCTCGCAACAAAATGTCAGCGTAACATCCATTTAGGTTTTGGCTTTTCCCTTTCAAGGGCCCACCAGAGGGATGCTGAGGATTTAAGCAGGACTCGGGCGGCGGAGCAACGGTCCGGGACGCTGGGGTTGCGCTGGTGAGCAGCCGGCCTGCTCCTCCGGGCTGGCAGCGGCGATGCGGAGGTGAAGGGCAGCTTCCAGGCGCCCATGCGACGGGCAACCTCCTAATCGGGAGCCAAGCGCCAAGCTCAACGGCTCCTCTTTACCCCAGATCTCTCTTCAAAATAGAAAAGAAACCCCCATAAAACAGCAAGCTAAATATCAGTCCCGCAAGCCGCGCCACGGCCACAGGCCAACGGGCCTAACAAAAAAGCCAAGCATTTCAATTTGCAAGTACGCCAAGCCAGCATTTGCTGCAACAGCATGTTGCCCTGAGCCTTGATCCTGCAAACCTCTGAATGTACGGTTTATTTGCCATCAACAGACCATTCACAGCATTGCTCCTATACAGGATCACTAAACCCAGAGAGTAAAGGTAAATTGTCTAATTCGCATCGTAACATACACACCATCTTAAGGAGAGCACAAAACTAAATCAGAAACATACTTCTCAAACTGTAACTGCACCATGAGGATTCACATACAGGATCAATTTTTTTAACTTTACCAAGAGTTAATTTGCTTCTGAAAATTTAACACTATAGACTTGAATTTCTTCTTTACACCGCTCATTGCACAACAGTCGGATCCAAAAATTTCAGTCCAACTGTCAAATGAAATTGTCCACAAGCTGCATAACAGAGGTGAGACAAGACTCAGACCTTGCAAGCACTGGGGGCTCCCCCGAGCCTTTTTCCCCTTCTCCCAAAAGCATGTTTAATTTTTACCCAAATCAGTTTCAGCAGAGTTCAGACAACTCAATAAGCAAAGCAAAATGAGAGTGAGATGAAGTCATCACCTATGGAAATACCCTACCTCTCAGTATATTTGAGTTTTTTTAAACATGAAAAGACCAAAAAAAAAAAAAAAAAGAAAACCAACCAG